TTCGGATCCTTCCATCTCCGTCCTTAAGTCCTTTCCTAGCAGTATTTTAACTGTGTAATTGCTTTAATTGCGTGCTTAATGAAGATAAAACACGCTTTGTGAAGGAACCACATCCACTCGTGATAGATCTAATCACGCGACTTTTAAATTTTCAGTGTTGTAGTTTCTAATGTAGTTTTAGAATTTGAATTATTGAATCTATGTTTCGGACGACATAAGGGCATCCACATCCATGGATTATTTTTGGGATCATTTTGATGATGTCGAGGATTTTTTGGGGATCATGGATGAGGAGTTGAAATTATTTTATGAGATTATTTGATAAAATAATCTGGTATCAAATTCTAAAGCTGGATTATTTTGAGATTATTTCCAATTTCTAGGCATATACTCATAATTATGGTGATGACTAGCTTTGTAGTTTGTGCATGCTCATGCTCCTATCCAAGGTAAATTGAGATCATGAATGAGGAAAAATTTATTGATTTGGAGATTATTTGAGATTATCTTATGTAGAGGTGATATGACAATAATAAGCCATCAAAAACCGTAAAGTTGAAGATCATCAATGTGGATGCTCTAAAACTAAAAAAAAGGAAAATGGATTTTTCAAATCTACCACTTTCGCATGTACGGAATCAATAGAGCTGACTTTATATATTTTCGTCAAACAAATACGCATCCTTTGAGAAAAACAAAATTATGGATGTGATAAAAGTTTTAGAATTTGAAATTACCTTTATATTGTAACATGTCTTTATTTAGCTCTTTATTTTACAAAGCAAACAGACTGGAGATAGAGTTTATATTCAAATATGTAGTACTCTGTATATAGTACTCCTTCAGTCACGCATCTCAAGATTATGGACCCGTTTGGATAACAGAGGAAGCATCAATTCGTTGCTTCTTTTTAACATGAAAACGCCGCTAAAAGCAGCGGGTTGATGCGGATCTGTCGAAAACCGAACAACACCATAGGAGTACTAATGTCTTTTTAAAGTTTACAATGAAAACGTAATGATAAAGTAAATTCCTCGCAGATAAAGTATAAATTATTTCTAATTATTAAAACGTATGTACTCAAACGCTAGGAGTTCTACAAAATTGCAAAAAAAAAAAAAATGGATCGCGAAAGTTATTATAAAAAGTTAACCAAAGATTAAAATAGAGTTAGTTAAATTGATTTTGTCAATAGTGTAGGAGATCAGGAGATGGAATAGAGTTACCTTGTGAGTACTTGAAATGGAACAAGGAAGTGCTGTTTCTTCCAAAAAAAAACACGATATATCTACTCCAATTAAAATTGTGTTTTTTTATGATCTCCAATTAAAATAGTTTATTCCTTTTTAGGATTGATTAAGCTCTTTTTCCAAGAAAAAATATCAATGATCATATTTGAAAAAATGGGTAACGTAATAGTCTATAAGTATCTATAAGTATCATACTCAACTTTTTATTCAAGGGAAAATGGAAACTAATAATCCAACCTTTTAGCGGTCTTCTTACAATAGTCCCACCTTTTGATTATTCATGAATAATCCAACCTTTGCACCTCATCTTCATTCACTGGTCCCTGACCGGTTGATGACCTACTATTCCAAGTTATTTTCGTATTTTTGCAAAATATTATCTTTGTGAAAGGTGAGATTTATAATATAATGATTTGCAAAGATAAGAAAATAACTTGGAATGGTAGGTCATCAACCGGTCAGGGCCAGTGAATGAAGATGAGGTGCAAAGGTTGGATTATTCATTAATAATCAAAAGGTGGGACTATTGTAAGAAGACCGCTAAAAGGTTGGATTATTAGTTTCCATTTTCCCTTTATTCAATGATAGTATATACGGAGTATGTTGTTGACTTGTTGGGAAAAGTTCACTATTTCTTTAGATAGATTTTCTTTATAATAAAACTACTGACAAATTGAAACTAGCCATGCATGCTTCAAATCTATTTTTGCGGAATTAATTGGGATTGTGAGTTTGTAACTTCCTCCCAAAAAAAATGAGATTGTAATTATTAAATTGGCTAAAGGGTCAAATAGGCCTTGAACTCACTTAAAGTGTTCAATTAGTCCCTTATATAGGAGGTTCTGCCCGGCCGTCGCTAATTGAGGCGGTTCCCGGTGGAATTGTTTGATGAAATTTTTTGAGCATCTTCTTCATTAAGCCTAGTTTACCCATACCAAATTTCAGCTAAAAATTCAACCGGGAAGGCAGTCAAATGATTTTTCGAAATGTACTGCGTTGTTTAACTTCGCAGTTATCTTCAAAAAATCATTTGACTCTCTTCCCGGTTGACTTTTTAGCTGAAATTTGGTATGAGTAAACTAGACTCAATGAAGAAGATGCTCAAAAAATTTCATCAAAAAAATCCACCGGGAACCGCTCCAATTGGCGACGGCCGGGCAGAACCTCCTATATAAGGGGCTAATTGAACACTTTAAGTTAGTTAAAGGGTCTATTTGACCCTTTAGCCTATTAAATTTAACCTTCTCAACGGCTCAAACTGGCATTAATAATTCAGAACTCCGAATGCACGTCACTATGTCAGTATGTACTAATTTAACAAACTTGTTGAATTTGGCATATCGTTATTAATTACGTACTGTATATTCTATTCTAAGTTTTAATAATTGTTAATGGTTACTAAAACAGCTCTGGTCAATAACAACTTGTAACGTGGAAAAGGAACAGTCAAGTCCGATCTCTACACTGGATTGTCCATTTGAAGACGAAGACGATGTCTCTTTCCAAGATAAACTTAATATCGGACCAGGTAATTGCATTGTTATTGTTGCCAACAAAAGATTAAAAGTAAGGTTAATTATTCCATCTGCCCCACAAAATATTTATTTCTTCTTTGTACTCCCTCCGTTCTTTATTATTAGTCCCTCTTGGCTTTGGCACGGGTTTTAAGAGGAAAGTAGTAGGGTAAGTATAGAGTGTGTAGTGTAAATGTTAAAGTAGGAAAGAAGGTATATTAAAAAGAGTAAAGTAATGAGAAAGTAGGAAAGAGAGTGTATTAAGAAGAGTAAAGTGATGATAAAGTAGGAAAGAAAAAGTAGTTTGTAAAAAGTAAGTGGAGTAAAAGTAATAAAAATGAGGGTATTTTCTCGAAAACTTTCCTTAAATGGAAAGGAGGACAAATAAAAAACGTCCCAAAAAGGAAAGAAGGACTAATAATAAAGAACGGAGGGCGTATAAATTTGAACCACATAATTTTGATTATATTATTTCACATGCAAGTCAAATTTTGTGGGGTGGGTGGAGTAATAATTAGGACAATACCCGCATGAAGAAAGTTAGGAAAAGTATAGTGACATAATAAAATATTCCTCATTGATTCAAGTAAGGAAGAAGAAAACAGTGGGACCGAGGATGTGACAAATAGATGGATTCAAGTGTTACATGGTTGTGAAATTGCATGATTGTGGTTGAGTTAAAAACTGAAAAGAAAGGTATATCTCACAAAGATATTAGAAGAAATTTTCTGGACATTTCAAAAGGAAAATAGAAAGAAAAGTATGGGAGAAAAGAGAATAATATTTAAATCAATACATACTCCGAAGTTTACAATTTAGTCACCTTTAGAAATAATTAATTTAAAGATAGTCATATTTTTGTAGTTACTAGGGATTAAGAAATTGTTCAAAATAAGAGTCATAGTATTGTTATAGTTTAGTACTTTGGTTACAGTTTTAGTCATATTGTCCTAATTCTTATATGTAAAAACGCTACTTATCTTGTAGAAACCCTGAGGAAGCTGATGAAGAAGATCAAAAGGTTTGAGAGCCTCACTCAAATTGAGGTGCCACTGAAAGCCGAATCACCTCTATGCAATTCCTTATCATTCACACCGTACAACTTCAGGGATATAGGCTGCGAAGATCATAGCCAAGTAGAACTAAAAGCGGCATTATTACTTCAACAGTTGAACCACAACAGAAGGCTATCATCATGTAGCCTCAAACTTAATGTGACTGAAAGATTCTTACTACTCGATTTCTTCCGGGATGGAATCATTGAAGACAGATTGCCGGTTTCGCAGCTAATAAAGGAAGCGGAGGATTGGATTAATGGGGAATCTCATAGATATTTGCATGAATGGGAAGTGGAAAAGAATAGGAAGCGGTACATTGAAGATATGGAGAATGAATGGGAGTTGAAGAGGATAGTGGATGAGGAGAATGGGGGCTTAGCTATGGAGTTGGAAAAATATGTCTTAAGTTCTTTGGTGAATGAGCTAGTTGTTGATCTAGCTTGTTTGAGCAAACAAAGGATAATTAAGGATGGTTTGTCTTCTTATCATCGGTCATGATTGGATGGTTGCAATTCAATTTTGTAAAACACCAAATTTCATCTCGCAACCAAGGGTATGAGCAAATGCTCCCTTAATTTTGGTGTTATTGTAAAAAAAAAATGAAAATTAGTTTTATTCCATCATGGTTAGGTTTTGAAAAAATCGATTAAAATGGCGACTACATTTTACCCGTGTTTATATCTTAATGATTAAATCGGGTAATGACAAACTTTTAGCCGAGGTTAAGACAAACATTGTTTGTCCGAAGGATAAGCGAGCACAAGTTCCTGATACTAGTTTTGTTTTGTAAAGGCTACAGGCTGTGTGTCTGTGTACTTGTGTTAGTCATTCAGCGGCCGGCTTGACTGGGGAAACCTTGAAGTAAAGAGGTTTGACGAGTTGCATTCTCTTTAACTCTTTTCCTGGGAAAGCATCATTCTCCACTCCGTTTTAGATTAGATTACACTAGATATCCATATACCCAGCAGACTTCAATTCTTTTTTTCTGTTCCTAACACTTTTTACTTACAAACTTCTGCCATGTAATTTGTTTCTAATCAAAAGTTTTTCACTGTGAGGCTGTGATAATATGAAGACCTCCTGCTGTTTAGCATATGTAAACTACATTCACATCGAGTGAATCTGTGTCATTTTCTTAAACGTAGCAAAACAGGTTCTATATTTTGCAAGGGTTGTGAAGGTAGCGGGAAAGAAAACTACTTGTATTTTTATTTTTGAATTACGTGTATAATAAATATTGCTCAAAAAACATTGTGGGCAGCTGTCATAACTTGTTATGAACAACTTGTGTATCCATTGCTGGCGAGTTCAAAGGCCAAAATGTAAAAAAAAAAAAGAAAAAAAAAAAGAAGGGCGGGGGCATATAACCTCTTTACTTGACATATTAGACAAGGTATTATATACTCGTACTTTTAGTGTGAAAATTTCAGGCAACTAGATCTGCTTCCTCGCTATCGGGTAAGACAACATCAAGTCTCATAATCGGCTTATAAAATTGAGGGACTTCCGCACCAGCCTGCATGCAGAGCTCAACCACAGCAGGTGCCTTCCCGTAGAACCTCCTCAATGCGCTCCTCATTGGACGTCCTTTCGGCTCCCTCACGTGCCACAAATGATTTGGTGGGAAAACCTCATCCACTGTCGCATCTTGCCAACCGTGTTTCCCATCCCTCCATTGGTGCTTGAAGGCGCCACATAGCTTCACATTGTGACCCCAAGGGCCGACGTGGACTTCGGAGCAATATCCGCACGCTTTCACGGAATACTTTCTCATCAACTTCCTCACCCCTCGTTTGACATTGTCGTACGCTTTGATGGTCTCATGTGCAATCATCAGGGCTTCAGATTCACTGGGAGGCCCAAACCTTTCAAAAGCTCGATGAGTGTCAAAGTCCGCAACTGGCAAGCTCATATCGCGGGGTCCAGGCTCATCGACATATCCGCCTACGTCAATTAATTTCCTACCGATCATGCGGATGGGGGTAGTCCTGCGACGTGAAGGGTAATCTGGTAAATTAACACCTGCTTGGATGCAAAGCTCAACGATCGCTGGGATTCTGTCGAAGTTAAACCGAGTGTCGTGCTTAATGCGCTTTCCATAAGGGTCATACATGTGGTATGATTCAATAGGAATAAGAATATCATTAATGGAACCTTTCACCCATGAATGGAAGCCTCTCCGGTTGGGACTGGTTGAGCCCTGACAATCTTGAATCTCATGGCCTCTTTCAGCAATGTGAACTCCTGAGCATTCACTGCATGAGTACATTTAGATATTGAGTTTCAGCAATGTTGTTAAAGGCACTAGACTGAGACCTTACACTCAGAGGCAGCTTGACAGCCACTTTTTCAGCTTATAGTTTTAACCAAACACTAGAGTATGTTTGGTTGGAGAGTTTTGTAGGAGAAATATTAAGGACTTAAATCTATTTCTTAATAAATACGGAATGGAATGTTGCAAAAAACTAATAAAGGCTGACTCAAATACGAAGTATTACAGTATTACACATTCACACACTGTTTTTATTCCTTTTTATACAATCTCAAACTTATATTAAGATATAAACGCCGTCCCCCCCCTTTCAAAACTTTATGAACCCCAAATAGACCCTAAGTTATATAACTGTTCTAGCAGGACTAGTCAAACTCAATGAAAATAAGAGTTGCGATATCTTTTAAGTTGTTGAAACTGATCATTACTTTATTTATTTTTTGACTGAAGTATTTTTACTTTAATTCAGAATTCAGCAACACATAAAACTCCATCCATATCAAGCATATCTTCAACAATCTCACCAAATCTGCCTATATGTAATGGGATGCTAGAAATTAGGACCTATTCACTTGGAAACTGGAAAGTAGGAATATTTCAGTCCTAGACCAAACCAAATAAACTCAGACTTAAACAACCAATGATACTTATTCACTTGGACTTCTTTCAGACTTAAACAACCAATGATACTTAAACCTAAGAAAACAAAATGATAGCTAACGCCTAGGATGGATCAATCGGGCCAAGATAAGAGTTTTGGTTGCAAGATAATATATACCATATATATTCATTGTAGAGCACTCAAGCCAAAGAAGGCCATGACAGCCTCACAGCTCACACACACCATACCTACAAGCATGGACAGGGACTACATGAAGGAGTTGAGCCACTCCTTTGATCAAAATCTTCCAAGCTTCTAGAACTTCATGAGCAACTGGAACTAAATCGTCCACGAGCAGCCCATTTTTGGGTGGATGAAGTGGCTTCTCAATTCCCAACTGTGCAAGTTTCTTATCAGCCTTAGCAGCCTCCATGATTTTCTTCAAAGGTATGGGATATGGCTTCTTCTTATTCCTTGGCTGAATCGGGGGGAAATCTACATTCTGGGGAACTCCAAGTTTCTTTGGCCTTCCATATTGAGGGGGTGTCCTATCAAGACAAATGAAAATCCCCTTTCTTCTTGACTTAATAGCAGTGTGATATATAGACCCAAACTGCACATAAAGAAACAAAAAACTTTAGACATAAACTATGAAGATTATGCAGCGTAAAAGCATAAAGACTCAAGTAGAGACGCCTGTGATATTACAGCATAGCAATAGGATCACCCAAAAAAACAAACAAAAATATAATACAAGCGTTATTTGTTAACTGATATGCGCCATACAGATTAACTAATTCATAAAGTAAAGGAAAAACGAGTACCTGGGGTTTGAGAATTTCTACTTTGTCAGAGCAAGAATCTAAGAAAGAAAACAGAAATTAAATAAAATCAACAAAAGTGAATATCAAAGAAGATAAATTAATAAAATCCTAGAATGGCTCAAAAAAGGCAAGTGAATTTTTATCAAAACAGAGAAGGGGAAGATTGTTAAAGGCGAAAGATAAAACGGAGGAATATACCGGTGAGAGCAGTTTGAGTCCAGGGAGTGAAAGTCAAAACAGTGAATTGTTGAAGCATTTGCCTGTTGACGTCGATTCAAGCAGTGAAACAAATGGTAGATAGCCAAACTGTAGGAGAGTGTGCAGATGTTTCTGAACCTGAAACTGAGAAAGCACCCATTCAAAGTTCAATAGATGAACCACTGGGCTGGTTGCAAACAATTTCTGTAATGTAGAAGGGGGAGACGAAAGATGAGAGCTCCACTCCACACCGATGTGCTTAGCTCGCATTACTCAGATCTGTATGGGACTACAGCCAATATCGGTCCAACACTCCAACGTGAGTGAAGGACCTCGACTGAAATCCAAATGACCCATTTTAAGTTCCTTCTTTACTACTCCTTATTTGTTTGTTGTTGTTGTTGTATTATTTGTATAATTGTATATACTTGTATGTGGCATTTATTTATTAGATGTTAATATTTTAAAACTTTTAGCAGAATTAAAGAATTCGATATATTAATCAGATATTAGTAAATGTCTCTAAACTCATCGAACTAATGTACCCCAAGATTATTGAAGTAGAGTACACTTCTTGAGCAGGCCCACATGCTCATTACAAAGCATATTGGCGTGATAAATGGTTAATTTTTACTCATCTAGAATGTTGAGAGAATAGTGATCATTTATCACGCCAATGTGCTCTTGAACAAGTTTGCATGCTTCATGTGTATATTAGTCTAGGGGCGGAGGTGGAGGGGTGGCCAATCGGGCCACGGCGCAGCCCAAATTTTAAAATTGCTTATATTTTTTATGTAAAAATTTATGTGTAAAAATTCTTTGTACCGGTTCATCCCAACCCTTACTTGTGGCAATGCCCCTATATATTACGTAGTACTATATTGTATTGAAGTGGATGGTCAAAAGGAACATGAGAATGAAGAGTTATAGCTCATAAGAATGTTTATTATCAATAAAGATTCTATAATCTGACTGTACTTTACGAATGCTCCATCTAGTCAAGCATTCTATGGTGCAAAGTCAATGCTCTGTTTATTCTTTTTTACCCTTCATTTATTCCTTTTTGAAAAATTTATATCATTTATCAACCTTCCATAAATTCCTATATTGGAAACTTTCACCCTATTTTTCTCTTCCTATTTTCAACTTCTTATACTTGTTCAGTTGTTCTTCTTTTTCTTCTCCTATTTTCTACTTTTTCCACTTTTTCTCCATTTCTTTAATACTGTTTCTACTTAAATATTTAACCTCTACTACTTTCTTAATCTTCATGAAAAAGCCAAGGTGACAAGTAATAAAAAAAAATGGAGGCAATATTCAAATAAACATTGTATATTACAATGATAAACATAATAAGAAATTATTACTACGTCAATACTACCATATGTAAAATGAGCAATTAGAAAAAGGAGTATAAATATCAAGAAGTGAAATTGAATTTAAACCATTAAATGCATGTATAGTTTCTCACAATACATAACAAATAAAAGCATAAACTAATTACATAAGATGGTATTTCAGTATTTCACTAACATTAAAGACTATTAATATATTACGTAGTAATATTATCAGATGTAAAATAAGGGATTAGCAACTGGGCCGGTCTTGCCTTTTTCAAGGCCTAGGGGCGGATAATTTATATTGGGCTTAATCTTTAAAAAATTGTAAAAATATTTTCCTCCTAAACTAACATGATCATTTTGAACCATTTCAATTTGAATAACTAAATCATTCTTCTCCTCCGAGTTCTCAACTTGAGGAGGTAATCAGAATTTCACTTCTTCACTCGAACAAATTTTGTCCATTGAACCTCTTTTACTTAGGGCTTCTTTATCTAGTCTTCTCCTCTTTTTTTCTATCTCACATCCAAAAAAAAACCATTTTCTTACACCTTAAAATTAATTAAATTTATAAATTTAATTATAAATGAAAATTTTACCGGACAAATTATAAATGCAAAATTACTGAAATTCAACAACTCAACAACTATAAACTAATACGTAGTAGCTTTCAAAAAAACTGTGAACTAATCAACTAACTGCCATACCAACCACGGCAGAACAGATTAACACATAAAAATCAACATTTATGAATATGAACTAATCGTTTAATAAAACTCAACAGTCAACATCCAACAAATCAACTAATTATTTTCAAATATTCTTTTACAAACATTAAGCAAGTATGGATTCATGAATCATGAACTAATCAATAAAAGAATACAAGAGTTAAGGAGGTCGGAGGAGACCGAGGAATACCTGAAAGTGAAAAGGGAAAGAGCCGAATCGCTGAATGACTGAAGTGCAGTATGCACTATGCAGTAGGCCGGAAGGCGGAAGGACACCACTTGCACGGCCACACCAGAATATAGTCTCGTCTCCAGAAGGCAGAGGAGCGAGGACTGCTGGACTGAAAAGCCGATACGGGGCAGGGCGGCAGGCTTCCAAGCGTCGGCGGCCGGGCAGTCGGCGAGTGGCGATTAGCAGCTGGCACTTGAGAGAAGGGAGTTGGCGTTCGTCGATCGGCTGGTCCTTTCAGTTCTTTGTTTGGCTAAAAAGTAGGGGTGGCCGGGCCCGGGTCGGGACCGAGTACTGGTCGGGTCTTGGGCGGGTCAATTTTTTGGGCATGAGGCCTGGTCTCGGCTTGGGTCGGGTCTTGTATTTTTTTGGGTTCTCCTTATTTGTTTCTAGTGCAAATTACCCGCACAGTCCACTTTTATTAGACCTGTACAAAGCCGGGCCGGCCCGCCCGCACAAATTAGCGGGCTTGGGCATATATATTTACCCACCGGCCCGGCCCGGGTCCGGCCCGCAACAACATATGGGCGGGCTTGGGTTAGGGTGTAGCCCCGTTCGGGTCGATAAGCCCGGACCGCTATATTTAGTATATATACATATATTTTTTATATATACTAATTTATGTATTTATGTACATGTACACATGTATATTTTTATATTTACTAATTTATCTGTATACATATTTATAGTTTATCATGTTTAAATTTAAGTTTTTAGTTCTTAACAAATAGTCCAACCAATATAATATCTATTTTTGTACTTCAAGATAATACTTTGTGTTTGAATTTTAAATTTTAGATATACTTTCTCATTATTTTTGTGTAAATATTTTTTTGTGTATGTGATGAAAGGCACGTATACATTATAAGCGTATTAGCAATTTTTTAAATGTTGTAATATTATTTATAAAGTATTAAATAAACTATATAATTTTGAAAAATTTAAAGTTTTCCCGGGCCCGGCGGCCCGGTGGACTACCCGGCCCGCTCTTACGGGCGGGTATGGACATGGGGTTAGGCCCGTTTTTTGCAGGTCGGGTCAGGCCTGCCCACACACGATGGGCAGAGAACTTATGAAAAACCCGGCCCGAGCCCGGCCCGAGCCTGCTTTTGTGCAGGTCTAACATGTATACATTGTATTTCATTTATGTCCGTATCACTTTCTCTTTTCATAAATATCTGTTACGGACCTAACCCATACTAGGCCCGTAGCAACGCGATAAGCCCATGTGTAGAACTCACTCCTAAAAGACCAGCCGATTAGGAGGAGGGAACACATTGCTTATAAGCCACCGGCCAAGCCCATACTTGACCGGTGTGGGATCTTAACAATACCCCACGCTTCGAAGAGCCAACGTCCTCGTTGGTCACGGCTATGTTGGTCGCGGTTGGCACCCCCCAGGGCCCAAGCCACCACTCCGAGTGTCGGGATTAGGAAGATGGGGACGGCTCTGATACCAATGTTACTGTCCAGGAAATCTCATAAAAGAATGAAGAAGAGAATTCGAGAACTAGTAAACCAAGCTACTATAGAGAGATTAAGGGGGAGGAAAGTAGTAGAAGAATGAATAGATTTCTCATTAGTCTCCAGTCTGTACAAGTCTTGGCCTAATATAGGCGTTTTGACCGACTAACAGTTTTATTCAGTTAACTATTCTGTTAATTAACTAACTAACTGAATACAACTATATCAATATCTTTTCTGTTTTCAATTGTGGATTTTTATTTCAATTTTAGACCCCCTCCTCCAACCTACGTCTAAACATACATACGGAGAACATTTAAACCTCTGACCTCCATCCTTTCGGATTCCCTGACTTCCGTCTTGCTTCTAATCTCGCCTATACATCTGCATCTTGTAATCTGGAGTATTTGAGTTCATTGGAGTTATTATCCACTTCACGATATCTCCGAAACTGTTATCGCTAGAATGGATGACAAAACATTTGGAGAAAGAGGGGTCGTATCTCAACTTCGACAAGTTGCGATCGAAGCTTTGAGTTCACAAGTTGCGACATAGTTTCTGGGATCGATCGATCCCTTACTGCAACGATAATTCGGAACTAGATCAGAGAGCCGATTTAAATGATTTGAATTATATATATATATATATATATATATATATATATATCTCAAGATTACCCTGTATATACGAAGTTTTATTTGCATCGTCATTTGAAACAACTAGTATTAGGGTTTTCTGGAAGTTTTTTGCTTCCTACTTTATGATATTTCAGCATTAGTTATTCAATAATAATTTAGTTTCTTAGGAAGTACTTTGTGCCTTCATTGTGCAATAACTATTAACTCTATGATAACTGATATGCTAGATTAGTGTAGATAAGAATGATTTGTTGTGTATTTGAGTATTTTTTGGATTCTAGAAAATGTGATGGATTGGTAAAGTAGTATTAGTCAATTGACGGCACTTTAAACATTTTTTTTCAACAACTGAAACTAAACTTTGACTTTATCTTTATTTAAGAGGCAAAAAATAGCTTCTTGGTTGGAGCTAACTATTTTTTTTCAGGTTTGGAACTAACTATTAAGAACTCTTTTTCTGCTATGAACAGAACCTTGTTATAATTGTATCATTACTCTCATAATCTCATGGCAGCATCCAATGATGTAATACAAGTGCTTAGTGACTATATTTGTTATGTCTTGAGATAATCCGCTATTTCCATTTTGCTAAGTGAATAACATTTGGCATTACCTTTTTCCCGCTTTTCCAGGTTGATGATGTTCTCGAATCAAAGTTAGATAGGAAGTTTCACTTGTTATGGATAAAGGTACTTTAGATGCCATTGGATTGCATCTTGGCAGGCCTATCAGGTTGTTAGTATTTTATTATCTCATGTCTCACAGGCTCCATGGGAATTGATGTGTGTTAAAAATAACCGAAATTTAAGAAACATGTCATTTGCACCAGTTTGAATAGTAAAGTTGTAGGGTGCATTGGTCTTATTTTCTAGATCAGTTGATCTTATTTTTCTAGATCAATTGGTAGATCTCTACTTTTATTGGTATCCACATATCCTGTTGTGATGTTAAGTGTCTTATCATTTTCTTTTTCAAGATCATGTATTGGCAATCAATCTTAAAACTTGTAACTCCTGGTGGGTTACTGATAAGCTCTTATTCTTTTCATAAGCCTTCTCCATAACAACTGCCAATTATTCAATTGTTCACTTGCATAAAATCTCACATGGTGTGATTATTGCAGGTAATCATATCATGTACCAATACGAAAAATAATGTGACAGTACGAAAGATGAATGGGTAGAAGAAGGGTCTGCATTGAATCTAAGACGAAACATTGACAGTCAAGAATTGGAGGAGAATCAAGAGCGGCAAGAACTCCCAGAGATACCTCTCCATTCAGTTACCTTTATCATGTTCGATCCAATCCAACTTTCATGTTAGGAGGATCTGTAGGATCTTGGGTTGCCACAATTGCATTCCTAAAAGAACTTTCATTCATTATTTTTGTGTATTCTACATAGAAAAGAATACTCGGCTGCTAAATGCCCCATTTTATATAAACTGTAAATAGTAGTATCGTTGTTTAATTGTGCCAATTATCTTGCTCACTTAGAATTTTGTTCTACAACAAAGACTAGTTAGCTAGGTCCCATCCCCCCAGTGGTAGATTGCATCGAGGGAAGCCAAATTACATAATAGTAATAGATATATGTAGTATATTGTTTTTTGTTGCTTTTTGTTGTATTGAATGTGTTGCTTTTTGTTGCATCGTGTTGTTTTTTGTTGCATCATGTTGTTTTTTGTTGCATCATGTTGTTTTTTGTTGCATCATGTTGTTTTTTGTTGCATCATGTTACTTCTTGTTGCATTTTGTTACCTATTCTTGTTTTATTGTTGATCTTGATTTTTTTGTTTAATTTATCTTTGCTACTTGTTTGAAGTAAAAAATAATATATAGATTTATATTAAATCATATATTTGAATTTATGAATATAAACCAAGCACATGAAACAATAAGAAACAATAAAAAACAAAAAAATCTGAGTTATCAACAAAAGGAAACAAAAAGAAACATCATGCAACAAAAACAAACAAGAAAATTACATAATAAAGTATTTTAAATGTTGTAACTATATAAAAAAAGGAATAATAAGATTCACATTTTTTAAAAATTTCAATTGTTTCAATGTTTCAATTTATTTTGTTTTACGAATTTTTTATTGTGGGGTTTTATATTTTTCATGATTTTTAGTTTAATTAAATTTTATGATTTATATTTTTAGAAAGAATTTTCTATTATATTATATTTTATTGAATTTATATGTTTATATGTGCTTTTTACGTAGAATATTTAACGCTTTTTATGGGTTTTTTTACAAGCATATTACTAAAACCAAACTTATTTACATAAATATAATTATTCGTTACTACAATGTAGTGTTGTGGTAACTTAAGTTCAAAACTTGAACATGAATCACTATGATTTCATTGCTACTCTAGAACTAGTCATATTTCAGCAAATCATACTCCCTCCGTCCTGAAAAGGTTTGCCAACTTTGACTTTCACGTGGATTCATAAAGTAACAACTGTGTGGTTGAAATTTGTTCAGAGGAGAGAGACTTAACTTTAGCCACATATTTCTTACTTTAAATGGAAATGACAAATCTTTTTGGGACATCCAATAAAGGAAATTTGACAAATCTTTTCGGGACGGAGGGAGTATTTGTTTTAGTCATATTTATGTATAGGTTTTGCTTACTTTTTTCTGATTTAGTTTAAAGATTTAGATTTTTCTCTTTATTGTTAAAATTTAATTACATTTTCTGATTATGAGATTTTTTATTCTTTAATTTGAGTATTTTTATTATGTTAGTCTTTTATTATGAAGTATTCTTTTATTATTTTTTATTATTCTTTTTAAAGGTTTGTTTTGTATTCAGTTTAGAAATCAAAATTAAAAATGAAGTAACGGTGCACTTTACTAAGAATTATGACTTTCCTTGAGGCCTTAAGCTAATCCACTTATGCTGCTTAAAAGGACTGCAGACCAAACACGTGTTTACTATTCACACGGTCCATTTGTGAAAACAAAAGACAACTGGTCCGTTTTTGAAAGAAAATTTAAACAGTAAAAAATGTGATATTTTTTAAACTTTTAAGTCTCCATGCGAAAGTTTCGGTTGTTTCTACCCCCACCCCCAAACACCCCGAAACCACCCAGCCCAACACGCCTACCACCTGACCCATTCGAAAAAATTAAAAAAAAAAAAAACATTTTG